GTAAACTCAGGCACGTAAACGGGGCAAAAGCAAAGGGAAAGGAAAAGGAAAAAGAAAAACCAAAAGAGAAGCAAAAGCAAGGCAAACAGCGAGCAAACATATTAAAAATGCCAAAAAAAAACGTAGAAGTGAATAACTGTGAGTCTTTTTTTTGTGCGTTTTGCCAACAATTCCACATTTGTTTAGTGCTTAATGTCGGCGTCGTCGCGATTTGCATGCTGAGCAGGTGCTCCATTATTTATACCGCCTGGAGGGGCTGGCAAATGTTCGGCGGAGAAACTGATTTATATACTGGAGGGAGCTAGGGGAAGCTCGGCCTGAACAATGTTCGAGCCGAAATTGTTTTCGACATTTTAATGCAAACTGACAATCGGCGCTGGCAAAAAGGGAGGCGCACAGCCACAGCCGCAGCCACCTGCGTCGCCATTTTGTCTGTGCAAACAGTGTGGGAGTGGGGGGTGTACAGGGTGGGAAGGGGGGCGCGTAGGCAGAAGTGATTCCGATCTGCGCTTGGCAATTGCCATCAATTTAATCAACAAGGCTGCAGTGCCAGTGCAAATAAGAGCCAACAGATCCGACGCCAATGCCATAATTTTGGTTTATTGTCGGGAATCTGTTAATGCGATGGCTCTCTGCACCCCCACCCCCCACCCACCTGTCTGCCATTCATTCCCCCGAGAACAGACACTATCCAATGGCGGCTCATAAATAAAAATCACTGTGGCTGTGAATTGTGCAACAATTTTTGTTTGTTTTTTTTTTTGCTTTCGGTTGGCTTGGAATTGGGCATGAATATTGTTTGGTGTGTGAGTGTGTGTGTGTGTGTGTGTGTGGGTGTGGGTGTGTGGCTTGTGCGTAATTGTTGCACACGAAATGCATTACACAATGCAGCGGTAATTTACACGCGCCCAATTCCAGGTGCCGCGGAGGCGTAATGTGCAAACATTTGGAATATTTTCTGGGGGGTGTTAAGCGCTGGCAGTTGCAGCTTTAAGCTGCGCTTCCCCTTGACCACTGGCACTTGGAATTATCCAACTTTCAGGCTAATTTCTACGCCAAAAAACTCCCCACAGGCAAGTGGCATTGGGACACTCAACATCTAACCGCATTTCGTTTGTTATAAATCCACACAGACGAGGGGCAGAACTTTTTGGCAAGTGAAAATTTATGCCTCAACTCCCCAGACCAAGGCCCACATCTTTGCGATTTGTTTGGGGGCCTTATAATTCAAGTTTTAATTGGCGCAAGCCAAGTGGTTCGGCGAGGGACGACAATGGCGAAGCGGCGCAATTATTTATGACTCGTTAAGTGTAAAATATCTGGCGCAAAATCAAGGGGCTGCACAAAACTCTGTCCAAAGCGACTCAGAGCAGCCTAAATCATATGGCAATTTATGGCAGCGACCCAAGAACAAGGCAAACATTCAACAAAAATGGCAACTTTGGGGGGATTTTCGTTACAAAATGGTTTGGGAGCTGTCGAAGTGGTCCTCCCGCCTCCAACCGAGACAACCAATAAATTATACTTTAATTTGTTTACTTTGTAGTAGCTAAAGACCAGCTACAATTATGGCAATTTAACTGATTTTACAAAGAAGAAAATTTACACTAATTACAGACTGTTCCGACTAACAGGGCAGCAGCACTGTTAGCAGCTTAGTGTAACAGGCTGCTTCTGATTCCTGATAACAGACTGTATGGCAACAGTTAGCTCACCCGTCTACAGTGCCTTTAGCACACCATCTACAGTGATGTTAGTCTGCACTGTAGACTTTACAGCGATGTTAGCGCTCGCTCTCACGATCCATACGGCGCTCGCGAGCGGCCTTAACATGCAAGTTTATTACCCACCCCCGCTTGCTACTAGCAACAACAGCGCCATTTACATACGGTAAATCACCTGCGCTTACTTTTAGAACTAACATCAACTAACATAACATTGATTCCTATCCACTTCCCTCTGTCTGCTATAAATATCTACCCAATGTATGAGAACCCTCTTCAAGCATCTTAAAATGACTGCAAAGACTGACAGCCATTAGGCTAATTGTAAGATTTTTCCAAGTTCAAATCCACGCTAGACATGGGGAATCGGCCTTTCAAAACGATAAATCCCATACGTTGATGTCAGGGCCACTAAAAGTGCCTTTGTACGAGGACACACAACATAAACTACAATAACAATTAGTTGGCTTAAGAGGTCCGAGGGGGCAGCAGCCTACCCAGTCTCCTGCCAGTCTCCTGCCAACCCTCATCAGGCGCAAGGAAAGTGTCCACAAAGTTTGGGCATAAGCTGCTGCCAACAAGGGGATTTGGTGGGGTGGGTTGGAGCTGGGGCTGGTTAGTTCGATCCATTGGGGGCTAACAAAGGCCGTTCAGGATTGTCATTGTGCCGTGCCGTAAAGGAGCTCAGGCTAAAGAGTGCATGACAAACGCTTTTTACAATTATCCTCCGACACTTTTATGTCACGCCCTTAGTTAGCCCAGCAGGATAGGGCAGGGGCAGAGGCAGAGGCAGAGGAACGTTACTGGTAGAAAGTTGTTGAGAGTGAAGCTAGATGAAGGCACTCTGAAAATATCTACAAACAATTTTGATATATTTTAATAGCGAAAAATACCATAAAGGTGGCAGTGATGCAACAATTTACCTAAGTAGTTCCGAGTTTATATTTAGAGCCAAGAGTTGCTTACGTTTAATGGTGAATATCTAGGGCTTATTATACTCTTAATCTTTCGTCATTCGTTGACTTACATTCCCTAGCTTGCAGCAGTTTTAATCGTGTTAAAATCCACCCAAGAGCCAGGAACCCTTCTTAATTCTTCGTCTTCTGTTAATCTGCCATTCCCCGACTGAATATCTTCTGCACGATATTATCCTCCCACACAAATACTCTCCCAAGTACCCCCGCAAGTGTATTGCAACTTAAGTCAAAGACTTCACGTTCTTTGCCCCTCCTTTCTTATGATTTCACAAAAGTGAACTGTTTTTTGTCACAGAGAAATGTTCACCATAGCGAAGAGTCGGTGAAGTTGTTGTGTTGCCAAAAGTGCTTTCATCTGCTCCTCCTCCTCGAGGCTCCAGCTTTCCGGGCAGACTGTGCTGGAAGTGTTTATCACACGTCAAAGGCGCTTTTTGTCTTATGCCCCAAAAATCTGCTTCAATTTGAGCCGCGACGAGCGACGCGGTGTATAAAAAGTTTTTGTTGTTGCATAAACATTGTGTGATTGTTAGAAAAACATGTGCCAGCGGGCATACAATGGAGGGAGGATGGGTGGGGCATGTGGGGGAAGAGAGACTCATCAAACAATGGCATCATCTGCATATGCCACGTTCGCTCCCTTGTCAGCGCCACGCTCATTCCCATTCCCATTCCCATTCCCATTCCCATTATGACGAAAAGTCGCTACTTTTGTGTGTGTGTGTGTGTGTTTGTGTCACAATAAAGTCTCCTTTATAGTCCCGAGATTAGGTTAATCCTCTGCCACTCTTGCTATATGCTCGGCCTTTGTTCTAATGATGGAGAAAGAGCGTGTGAAAAGGCTCGGCAATAACTCTTTTTCTCTCCCGCTCACTCTCTCTCTCTCTCTCGCCCCTTTTGCCCGCGTGCTCACATTTGCGTTGCTTGTTTCGCTGTTGTTGCGGCTCCTAATGAAAACCGTTACAGTTTACAGTTTATTATGCTCACGAACGCACATCACTCCAGCATGCACATACACATGTACTTACGTATTTACATACTCTTGCCTTGTATTTGTCTTGGCTGCGGAGGGTTTAATGAACTGCCTTTGGCACAGCAAAAAAAAGTAAGAGAGAGAGAGAGCTTCAGCCCCAACCCTGACTTGCCATAATTTACGATGTATTAAGTGATTTGAAACATTTTGTTGTTGCTGTGCCTCTTTGACACACCTACCGACAGGCAGTGGCGGGGGGCGCGAACTCCTCAGTTCCACGAACTCCTCATCCTCATCCGCAGGGCTGAAGAGGCGGGCGGGCATCAGCTCATGCAGTTGACATGTGCCAGGGAGGTTGATTAAATTAATGAAATAAATTATGAGCTGCTCATCAGCGTCTCGCTGTTGCCTTTTTAAATTGAGTGCCGCGCCATCTTGAAATTAATAATGTGACATCTTGGGGGCACACACACACACACACACACACACACACACGCACACGTCCGCCATGTAAATGTAGTACCTAAGCCAACACACATAGCTACTTATTCTTCTCAAATTTATGCACTTAATTGAGTTAATGCCATCGCTGATTGCAAGGCGGGAGCGGAAGCCGCGCAGACAGCTGGCTTCGACTTTAAGCCTGGCCGGCCACCCACAATCAGACCCAATTTGCCAATAAAACGTGACAATAAAAACTTGACAGCAGGTCGAAAAATCCAATAAAAATACAAGAATTTCTATGCCTTAGGGAAACATTTCCCAACACAATTCTCTGCGTGACAATGCAATGCATTTAAGTGCCATTATTCCTTGCGACAATGTCTGAGCCTCTCTCTCTGTGCGTGTGTGTTGCAATTGCAAATGGCAATGCACAAATGTCCGGACATGCTGCTGCCACACTCGAACTCCGACTCGACCCCGACTTGGCCCTTTGCCTGGAAATTAACAAAATGCATTTCAGAACTCAGACCAAACCCAAGGCAACAAAAGCCACCAAATTAGCAGACGCACACAAAAGGCACTCGAGGCAGGAGCAGTGTGTGTGTGTGTGTGTGTGGGGTGCACGACAATGGACCGGCACAAAATGCCATCAAGTCAACAAAGGAATGGCAGAGGTAACAGAAATGGTTGGATACTGGGAGTCCGGTTTTATAGGCAATGTTTGCTGCCAGACAGCCGCCACTGTGGCGTTGCCTCACTTTTGTTAGCCATGTTGCCCCCCCCCCAGGCAGGCTCACAATACGAGTGCACCGCAGCAGTAGGCTGCACACAACTGTGGGTATTGTGGCACCAACAGCAGCTTAACAATGCAACAAACATCTCGGCTCTGATGTGCAATTGACAATAAAAAGGTTACATTTATTTCGGGCGCTTAACTTTTGCTGGCTATGCAATTAAAAATCAAAACTGAAGTGCATTAAAACTCATCGTCATCGTCGTCGTCATCGATGACGGCCACACGTCGCCGCTTGGCTGGCTTCTCGACGACTTTGGCTGGCTTTTTGCGAGAGAGAAAATTGGCATCATCGTCGCTTTGCTGCTGCTCCGCCTCGTCTGATTCTTGTCCATCGTCGCTGCGTGGGCGTTTGTTTGTCCTGTCAGCAGGCGAGGCGCCACCATCGTTGTCGCTATCCGAGTCAATTACATTAACGCGACGTGCACGCTGCAAGGACGACGACAACGATGGGAGCTTCTCCTTGCTGCTGCTCGTGTTGTTCTCTTTGTTCTCCGCTTCCTCCGGCTGCTCATCCGCCTCATCCTCCAGCTCCAGCAGCCTGGCACGATAGTCCTCCGAGTTAAAGTTAAATGCATCATCGTCTGCCTCCTCCACGACCTTCTTTGTTGACTCATTTAGCAGCATATCGCCCACTTTGATTTTAGTGGCTCGCTTCGTTTTCAATTGTTCAAATAAATCATCCGTGCTGGCGCTGCTCGGCTGCTTCGTTGCTTTCTGCTGTGGCTCGTCATCCTCCTCCTCGCTGGACACATCAGGCTGTCGTTTCTTGCGTGCCAATTTGCGGGCAATTTCATTGACTTCAGCCTCATCCTCGGACTCAGTCTTTGTCTGCAAAGCTTTGGCTTTGGCTTTGGCTTTGCCCTTGCGCTGTCGTTTGGCCTTTGGCTCTGCCTCTGCCCTTGCTTTGAGCGGCGCTCGTTGCTCCGCCTGATCATCGTCATCGCTTTTGCTGAACATTAAGCTGTCCAGCCGGCGCTGCTGCTCGGCTGCTATGTTCTCCGCTTGGGCCTGCTGACGCTGCCTGCTGCGCTTGTCCAGATAGCCCTCCTCGTCGTCCTCCTGCTGGAGATTCTCTGCTTCCATTTCCACCTCCTCACCGGCCAGGATTCTCGCGCGCAGCTTCAAGTCAGCGGCATTCAAATAAGTCGGCACTCGCCAGTAATTCTCCATGCCAGCAATTGGCGGCTGCATGCCCAGAGCCACGAGTACCTTCTGAAAGTCGCCATCCTCCATGGCATCCTTTTGGGCCTGCAGCAAAGGCAGCAGCGGCACACCATCATCAGCCTCCGCTGGCTCGTCCGTGTCCTCGCTGGCATCGTTCAGGCTTTCTTGGAGCCACTCAATGGCCGGCTGATACTTTTCCGTGTCCACCTGAGCGATTAGAGCTTGGACCGTGCCCACGTCTAGGGGAGTGCGCACCACCGGACGTGGCCTGGATTTGTGTTCTCGCTGAGTGGCAGCTCCAACATCCTCAAACATGGGCTCTTCCATGTCCTCATCGCTGTCGTTGTCTCCATCGCTGTTCGTCTCCTCCTGCTGCCTCTTGGACCGGCCCTTGCCGCGCCCTTTGCTGGGCAATATCTCCGACTTGTCGGCTATCAAATGAATCTGAAGCATTCTCTTGATGATCTGCTGCTTGCTGCGCTGCTCTCCAAACTCTTCCACAATGCGCTGCAGGCAATCTGCCAATAGATAGAGCAAAGTAAGAGCATTCAGGACACTGCCTGCTGGTAGGACAAATAAATTGCTGTCCCCTTACCCGGCTCGATGCGATATTGATCGTATAAGCTTCTTAGCATTTCATCCTCTTCCGGCTGCCAAAGGTTTTTTCCACTCTGCCCGGACTTTGTAGAGCGTTTGGTGGGCGCCTTGAATTGCAGACCCAACTCCTTCATCTTCTTGAGGACACCACGTCGAGTGCGTGTCTTGTCGGCCAAATTGTCCAGAATCCAATCAATCACATCTGAAAGAGCAGACACAATTGGGTTGCAATGCTTTTTGCTATTGTTTGCCCAGCTACCCCAAGCTCCAAGCTGCTCTCGAGTGTCCCTCCCCCCCCCCCCCCCCCCGAGCAGCTCTGATTGCTTCTATTCATTTACTGTAAAACGGAGTCTTAATTCACACTGGGAGAAGTCTCCCTCTCGTGTGTCCCAATGTGCCATAGTTACCCTTATCGGTTTCGGGATTGCGTTGATTCTCCTCAAACAGAAAGCGCAGCTCCGACTCCTGCTCCTCGCTCCAAGCGCCTTTGGTGCCACTAAAAGACAAAAAAAGGGAATGCAAAGACCACAAGTTAGAAGAAGGGTTCGGTTAGGGATGAACAACGAAGATATATCGATGACTGCAGAAAACATCGACACAACATATCATAGATAAATATGCAAGATGGACGATGGAAGAGCAACTTCTGGGCAAAAGAATGCGGAGAAGATGATTAAAACATAGCTGGGATGGCTAGGTGTTGTGTAGTGATGAACAGCGAACAGATTTAATATCGAAATAAATATCGAAAAAAACATAAAATGGACTCCGATCTTTAGGGATCGTCTTCACCAGCCAAAGAGTGTGAAAAAGTTGATTTAAACGTTGCTAGAATGTAGCATAATCATCAGCATTGTCTCGACACTTGTGCAAGACATTCCTTAAAAGACTTTTAGAAATATAAATCGATAAATGCACATCCATGTCCCTCGCTGTTGTCCATCCCTAGCAGAGCTACACTTCACTCCACTCTTCTGTGAAGCAACAGAAATATATTTTATGGTGCACGTTTTAGTCATGATTTTGGCTTGCTCTGCCGGGGGGTCGGGTGCTGTCCTTGCACCCTTTTGACTGGGGGGCTGTACGGTATGCAAATAGAATGAGTTGGGTAGAGTTCTGGCTGCTCTCTGGATATGGCCTGCGCTGGTCATCATTTATCATCTGGCAACTAAACGACAGACGATGAAGCCAACGGCTCTGGCTCTGGCTCAGTCAATCATGCGGCCATTGTGATGATGATGGGCCCTTTTAACCCCAACAAGACAATGGGGCAGCAGGGCAGGCAGCAACCCAACTAGCAACCCAAAGCCAATGGGCCGGAGTGAGTGTGTCTTCTGGCCATACTTACGCTTCATAGGCATCACAATAGCCAGTCTCGAGCTCATTTGCCTCCCTGATGCCTTTGTAAAATAATAACTCTGCATAGATTTTGGGATTAGTTGGTGCCACGTCGACAAATTTGCGCACCACATAGATGCCCAGGCGACGCAGCTCCTCCTGATGGGCGTCACGTTCCACGCTGAGAACTTGTTGAAAGATGCGAAACAGCTTGGCCTGTGGATGGTAGAGGTAGAGTGAGTTCTTCATATTCAAATGAAAAGTTTCAGCAAAGACAGGGACAGCCACAGCAGCAGGAGCAGCCAGACTGTAGCATCGAGTGGGTTTGGGGCGCCCTTCTGTGGTTGCCTGCCACTGCCCGCTCCTGCGGTTGGGCTCTGGCTCTGGCTCTGTCTGAGCAAGATATCATTTGCAGTTGGCAAAAACTTTATAAATGCCACACCAAACCCCCACATCCAACCCTAAAAGCTTCAGCTCTACCCCTGCTCTGTGTATCGTTTGTTGTCTTCGTTGACTCTGTCGTCCGTATTTGGAATTTAATTTATCCTATGATTGCGCAGACCCATTAGTGGTTTTGACTTTGCATATGATGCTACTTTTGTGCCAGGAGGAGTCTGCTTACACACTGAAATGGATAGCTAGAGCAGCAGCAGCAGCAGCCACAGCTCGTTCTCTTGTCAGCATTGTCCTTGTCTGCCAGACAGTGAGCCGGCTTAGATGACGCTGATATGCCAGAGCTGCCTGGCTGGACGAAACACTTTCTGGAATATCGGCTTTGTTTGCCTCTAGCTGCTGCCGTTTTTCGGCTGCTTTAGTGATTAGCCATTCTGCAGGCTGCTCAATGACTCAAAACCAAAGGCTTTAAGCAGAGAGAAAGCCGCTTAAAGCCAAAAGAGAGAACAAATCGCGGCAGGGTTAAGGAGAAGGCCACGCGGCAGCCGCCTGCTGCTGAATGTGATTTATGAACTCTGAACCAACACAAAAACCCAAAAAAAAAGGAAGAAAAGTTTAATTGCCAGCCGTGAAAAGCAGCATAAGCAGTTGAAGAAAGAAACTTCGAGCGAGTACTAAAAAGCACTGCCAGCCGTAAAAATACACTACAAAAGTGCACCAAAAAGGGAGTCATTTCTTGTCCTATTCAAACCCAAAAGTAACTCCAGTATTTTGACTCTTAATTAAAGCACGGAAAATGTCAGGCTGCTTAGTAAATTTGATATGCCCCATGCCGCTGGGCGGGTATACACTGCTACAAACTCAAACACAGACATTTGAATATTTGAGGAGCTCCACCAAAGGCAGCGCGTGAAAGGCTTAAAAAGTTCAAATTCCAAATGTGAAGTCTGATGGGGGGGGTCTAAAAGGGACCAATGAGCACTGGAGGAGCGCACAATGTATATATAAATGTACGCTTAACTCGTAAAGAACTCGCTGCAAATATCGTTTGTGGCTGAGCACAAATAGAAAAAAAGAATGGAAAAAATAAGAAAAAAAAGGTTGCGCTTAATTTGTACAAATTACCATAAAAATGAAATGAAAAGCAGCGACAGTGAAAGAAAGTACACGAGGGGAAAATTTCAACAACATTTCAACAACATTTCAACAACATTCAACTCTACTTTTAGTACATTTGTTGAAGCATTTAATTCTGCTCAAATTTAAAAGTTGAATTTGTTGAATTTACATTCATAAATATGTTTAAAAATATATTCATAGATGCTTTCAACTTCCTTTCCAGCCATACTTTCTCTCACTGCACTGTCTAGGGCGTGTAACAAAAAAAAAATGAGCCGCAGCGAATGTCGAGGGAGCAGCTAAGCCGCGGCATTTGTTTTTGCATTTGACTTTGATTTATGTGCAGGTCGCTGGCCAAAAGAATTAAAAGCGTGGCCGTGGAGCATTGACAGAGAGAGAGAGAGAGGGACCAAGCAACCAAGAAGAGTCCTGCAATTAGGTGCAACGTTGCTTCTGGCTCACCTGGAAGAGCATGCCCGGACAGGAGCAGCCATAGGCGATGCGATGGAGCACGGTAACAGCAGCCTTGAGGGATCTGGTGGGTATTTGTGTCCAGTCTGTGAGCACCAAAGTGCAGGCGCGTACAATCTTTGGGTGCAGCAATCTGTGGGACAAAATATATAGATAAAGGGACTACAAACTCCAATTGAATTATGCTAAATTTAACTAATTATGATTTAAGAGTTTAAATCACCCCCAACACCCCCACAAAGCAAAACCCACAGCCGCCACAGAACAGCTCCAAAACGGAGCCCAGCCCAAGGAAAAGTTTTAGAAACATTTGAAACAACAGCAACAACAATGCGAGTGGCAGAACAATTAAAATAAAGCAAACCAAAAACCAACTTGACGTCATTTTATTATAATGGTTAATGCTGTGGGGCACCGGACGGGACGGGACGGTACTGTGTACTGTTGCTGCTGGGATCTGGAATCTAAGCTGTGGCCTGCCTGCGGCAGCTGTGAGCGATCCACGCCGCTCCACTCTGGTTCCCCGTTCCCCAGTTGGCGTTCCGCGGCCATAAAACTTTTGGCACAAGTAATTTCTGACACTAATCCTTAATTAGTAGCCACGGGCTGTGTAGCACTGGCCCTCTGCCTTTCAATTAAAAATACAATTACAATTTTCAACACGAACCTCCCAGTGCAAGAACCAACCGATGGACCCCGACTACCATGAGAACTTTTCAAATAACAGGCATAAGCAGCCAGCCGCAGCCGCAGCCGCAGCCATAGCCCCCCTCCCCCTCCCAGCCCATTCACACAAAATTGTCCAAGCGGCTGGCCTTGATTCGAAAACTTTCCATTCCCTTCAACGCTGAGCTGAACCTTGGGCTGGGCTCGGCTCGGCTCCCATTTACCTGCGGGCGAAATCATCAAATTTGAACGTTTTCTCGGTGAGTCCTTTATCTGGGTAGAGATTGCCATTTATTAGTTGAAATTTCCGTAAATTATTTTCATATTTATCACAGATTTGCGCTTACTCTGCTCCTCGAATTCCTCGTTCTCCACATCGTCATCATCTTCGTCATCCTCGTCAGCGTCTCCATCATTTGGGGCCTCTTCGAGGGCTTCAACTGAAAATATTTACAGAAAATGTTAGCTATCCTTAGAGCGCTGTAATGTTGATTGAACTTCGTGGAAAATATTTATTGTGCATGGAAATATAACATGTGAGAAGTGGGCAAACTGGAGAACAAATAAAAATGCTGCTCAGGGCACCTCCCCTGGCACCCTATCGGGCCCGTTACTCTGCCCTCAGTTAGAGTTCTTGCCATGACTTGCCCCATTAACCACAATTATGACTGCAGCAAGGCATAAACAAGTTTACTTATGCCACAAAAATGCTACACAAATCACACACGGGAGGCCACACACTACCGCCTGTGGATGTGTCCTCTGATTAAATGGAAAGCTAGTCGAAAGGGCAGGCAGCCAGGGGCGGCGGCAATGCAATTGGAATGGAATATGCGATGCCACAGGAGACTTGACTTGGCTGTTGCACGGACAGCAATTCGTTTGTAGACGTTCAGCTGTGTGCTCTGCTGTGCCTTAGCTGCTGCCTGCTGGCTGCTGGCTGCTGCTGATGCATGCACCTGCTGCAAGGCATGAAATGGCATCGCACCAAAAAAATGTCAGACAAACACGAAGCTGACTGCAGTCAGGATAGGACCAGGCAGGAGCTGGGAGTGCTGCAGGCAGTTACAACTTCATTTGCTCCTCGCCGAGAGCGCTTTCGGTTGGAATTTGCTGCGTTGCATCGCTTTATTAACGTCTTGAATGGGGGCAGGCTATGGGTAGGAGTCCAGGGCGTTCTATGGGTTGTCCTGCTCGGTTGTCCCCTTGTCGTTTGCCAGTGACGCTATGGCCCCATCATTAAAATACAATTTTCTGTGTCAGGTTCAAGCTGTAAGCCCAAACATGGTGCATGCCACACGAACAGGCGGAGTGTTACAGAACGGACAGCAGCAGCAGCAGCACTACGGTGTGATATTAGTGCATGTCTTTTTGGAGCTGGCCTTTGTAGCTGGGACATGAGACAGGAGCCTGGACGAAGTTCCCCTTCTACTCCACGTCCTTTGCACGGCCATTAAACATGAACCTCGTTACGGCGCACATAGCTGATGTTCTCGTTATAGGAACAAGCACAGCTCCAGCTCCAGCTCCAGGGTAGTCCTGCTGGCACTTTGAAAGTCAAACTTTTGGGCAGAGACTTCAGAGAGAGAGAGAGAGAGAGGAGGAGAGAGAGTGTTCCCGTGGGACTAACTCCCTATATGCTGGGTAACCATCTCGTCGAGAGTTTGTCATCATAAAATAATATGTGTCTGCGTGTGTGTCCTGTGCTGTTGTTGTGGCCTCAGCTTTTGTCTGTACATCGCACTTTCAGGCCACACTTAATGACTTTTGCGCGTCGCACACACACAGGACACCTGTCCGCCCCCTGCAGCTGACCTTCGTAGCATGTTTTAGGCAAGAACGTGCCTGGTGTTTGGCTTGTGGTTTTGTGCACCAGACAAAGTCCTGCACAGACACATCCTGGCAGTTTCAGTTTATTTTTCGGTAGCAATCAATTTGAACTTTAATAGGAGCGGGGATGAGTGTCTGTAGCTGTGTGTGATTATTACATAATGCGAAGCAATGTCAACAGCAGTCTAAGGATTGTGGATGACTCCTCCAAAGCAGCCCGCAGCTGAAGGCCAAGCCGGACGAGTCAAGGACTCGCCAAATGCTAACAGGTGACGACTCACACACACACAGGGACAGGGACATTGCCTGGCGGGACAGCATAAACAAAATAATAACAAAACGCAGCGAGCAAGCGAACACAAAGAGAGGGCACAACGCCGCAGGGCACAAAGAGAACGAGAGAGAGAGAGAGAGAGAAAGCGCGCGACAGCGGGAGAGAGCAACATCGAGAGAGAGAGAGCCAGCGCATGCGCTTCGCTCGAATTCGAAATTCGAACTTTTCGAACTTTTCGAACTCTTCGAGCAGCTAGCGGCAGCCGAGCAGCAGCAGCCTCCGAGCAGCACTGGCTTAAAAGCATGTCCTGGCCGCCTGTGTAGCTCAGTTTAGTGCTGAATACACGAACGCCAGGACACGCGATAAAGCCCACAGGCGGAACACAGTCGGGACAGCGCGACAAAAGCTGACAAGTGCCGAGTGCCAACAAACATAATTAGGCTGCTGCCCGACACACGCGCTCGCGCTTCTATCATAATTGTTTGTGCAGCTCAAACGAGTGCCAAGAACAGGTAGACAGATCAGCCTTCAAGTGCTTAACGGAACTGCGGCCGATAGTGTGTGTGTGTGTGTGTGAATGATTGCTTGAGAGTGTGTGTGTGTGTGTGTGTGTGTGAGTGAGACGGAGTGTGTGCGCTTGATTTGTTGTCTGTGGCCTGCTTCCGCCTCGACTAAAGTCAGAAAGTCAAAAAACTTTCTTGCAGGCTGACAGCAGACAGCAGACAGCAAGGCGTCGCAGCCGGTGTCCCGGGCATTTGGGTGGCTTCTTGGGTTGGGTTTTAGTTTTGCGTCACAATTAATACTCCAACCTCGCTCCTGCCTGAACCAACTTGTATGTTTTAGTGTGTATGTTCTGCCTTGACTTTGTAGTCCACTCACTGCCCACCGGACATCAGTCAGTTGCAGTTCTTGAAGCTATCTGTCAGCGGTGTAACCTTAAAGTGAAATGTAATTCCAGCAACCTCAGAGCAAACAAACACAAAGCAATGTGAGATAATCATAAACACAGCACAAAACGAAAACGAAAACTCGAAACAGCAAAGAGCCGAAAACCAAACAAAAACAGTGCAAAAAGTAAGCCAGAGAGAGAGAGAGAGAGAGAGCGAGAAGAAAAAAAGCGAATTTTAAACGTCTGCAAATTAATCAACGTGCTAGGAAACACGACAGACAAACTGTCGTCGGAACAGGATCAAGTCCTAGACAACTTATCACAGAGGATTTACGGACAAACGACAGACGAGAGAGAGAGAGAGAGAGAGAGAGAGAGAGAGCACAGCCAGGCAGCAGCTAATCAACGGCCACAGACGACGCGAAGGCTACACCCAAGCCCCAGCAGGGGGAGGAGCAGTGGCAACAGCAGCCGCCGCCTCATTTGGCCACTGCGGATTATGTTAATTAGGTAATTTTTGCTTTGATTACTCGTACCTTTGGGAGACAGCAGCAGCAGCAGCAGCAGCAGCAGCGTTTTGTGTTTGCTTTTGGCCCGGTCCTCGTACGGTCTATGGTCCCCGCTGCTTACATATTTATGAAATTTTCATGCAAATCGCGACCACTGCCACTGGCACTGCCACTGCTCAGTTTTAATTTTGCGCCTTAATTGCAAGACCATTTTTTCTCGTGCTGCGGATGAGTTTTAGTTAAGAATTTCATAATTAGCAGGACGAAAAGCAGCAGCGAAAATTGAAAAAGTTTGACCAAAAACAATCATTTCTCCGTGGAATGACAACTGGCAGTCCATTAGTCGCTGGACCTAATCAAAGGCGAATGAAAAATTGAAAATTCATTTCAAAACATAATCAACACTGGGCTGGGCATCCAATTAAAATTGAAATGAGCATTCAACAATGAGGCCCAACCGCTGTGGGGGTCCTCTCGGTAATGGAATTGGCATTAATTATTGCATTGAATAATTTACTCAACAGCTGACATTTAATGGTCAGGCACAGAGTTTGTGTTACTTGATTTGATTCGATCGATATAAACACAATATCAAATATTAATTTCATTTACATAAGAACTCGATGCCCCAAAGGCCATGACAAAGCCAACCAATAACTGCGGCTAGCTCCGGCCGGCCCTCAGTCAATTGCACAAATTCCATAAATTAAGATCTGGGAATGCAAAGAGCAAAATGCAAATCCAAGGCTCCTGGGAGCGGCAAACAAACTTGTGAATGGATAATGGAAACAAAAACAGAAACTGCCAGCCAGCCAACAGTGGCCTGCAGGCTTTTTGCGCAACTTTATCTCCCTGCCTCTGCCTCCTTTTTATCGATAATTAAATTGTGAAATTGCGAGCTGGCACAATGGCATTGCGGCTGGAGAAATCTTGGACAAGTTTTGTGGCCGGCCTTGGGCTCACAAGGGTTTCTCCCATGATCTTAATTTGCAATTTAATTTGATTGATTTTTTGCATTGTTTCGAATGAAATTCATGCGCCGGAATTATGCATGCAAAGCGGGAAAAGTATTATGGAATTCCAGTGTTCCAGTCATTGATTTATAGAAGTAAATGATGCAAAAATAAATGCCATTTTATGCACACAAAATACGTGGCCCAGGTGGCGAGCATACAATGTCAGGCATAAACCATTTGACAGGCGAATTAAGTCAACGCTAATTCGACTTTTATCTATCTTGGCAATAAAACTCAGACAGTCAGCCTTGCAGGCTGCTCGAAAAGCCATAAAGTCCGAGTTTGTGGGGTGGCAATTAATGCAGCCCCAACATCTAATTAGAAGGCAGCAAAAGTGCCGCCAGATAACACACCCCACAGCACCCCACACTCCTCCAGCTACCGTCTATGTGGGGGTTGCCTGACAGCAGGATGGAGTCTCAATTAAGGCTGCCAGCAGGCAGGTGGGCAGACAGTTTGGCGTAAGTGCCTCTCCTGCGGTTGAGGGCAAGAAGGAAAGGAAACTTGATATTCTTGCATAATAATGCGAGTATTTCAAACTCAATTTACACAAAACTTTTAATCAATGCTCAGACACACTTCGGAGCCTGTTGTCTGCTGCTGAAATATGGAACATTTTGATCTAATTAGTGGGAAGAATTGCCAGTGATTCAGGCAAAAGTTATTGCTCGCACGAGCAGCATATGCTGCCGCCACAGTGCGTATGAGTGATGCGGGTAGCAGCCACAGCAGCACTCGAGACAGGCTGGAGGAGCCCAGCCCCATTCCCGCATTGTTTGCGGCCACCTGCAATCACGTGCCTCGTGTTGTGGCAATCAAAATCGTTAGCTGCAGCCCGAGCAGGGTCCCGGTCCCGGTCCCGGTCGCTCCCTTCCATGTACGGCGGCAAATAATCAAATATTTTTGCGACTACAAAGGGACGCAGGCAGGACGACAGCCAGTTTGAAACTTAAAGCCAGTGAAAGTAAATCCGATTTAGAGCCGTAAAACGGCAGCAGCCACAACGGGCGCTGAAACAATTTGCATATTTATGAAGAAGAACGGCCTTTGATAAAGCGCCACAGCAGCAGGAGACGACTGGCTGGCTGGCTGGTTGGCGGTTGCTTTAAGCTGCTCCAAATTGAAAAACGCAGACATACAAAAAGGAAAAGAAACAAATGTAAATGCTGCCGAGACGAGGATGCTGAGCCTGAGACTTGTGAGGTTTGGGCGTGCAACAATAATCTGCGCTGATTTACGATTTACAGGCGCAAAATAGACATCGCCCTGCTTCAACTCCAATTGCGGCATCAGGAAACAGACAATTTGCGTGAGCAATTTGCAGTTGATGGCGACACACGCCCTCAGACCCAGGCAGCCCACTCCCCAGCCACCCCATGCTCGGAATTGTAAAACATTTTTTTGCGAGTGCGAAACAGCACAAAATTTTACACACTGATTTTGATCGCTGGCTTTATATTGTTCAAGGGCTGCCTTTTCACTTAAACATAAATGGCGGCACAAGAAAAAAAGAAACAAAAGGGAGAAATGCGTCTACCCGTGGCGAAATATTTAACACGGAGTTTTGCTCCGGAATGCGGCAATTTTTAAAGCAATCTGCGAGCAAATGAAGCATTTTAAGGGTTTATTTTTATGTGTTTCACTTTAATTTTACAATCCATTTTAGGATGTGGACATATTTTAGTGGTACAATAAAATTAGCACTATACCACACATTTCGCTGCAGATTCAAGTGTCAGAAATCCTCTCTACCTCGCTGCAATATTCATAATTAGAAATCGCAAAATTCAAACTATTTTCCCACACAGAGTAAATGCCTACAAAAATAAACATAACCCAAATGGCCCCCAAAGTGAAGTCATTTTGTAATCATTGCTAAAATATATGCCAGCAGATGTGCCCTTTGAAAGCTTTTCAGCTTTACTTTACCGCTTGACATGCAACCAAAAATATGTATATGTTGACATAGTTTTTCAATAATATGTACTCCAAAACCTGAGTGCACATTTATGCATATTCCACTGTGCACAAGTATGGGTAAACAGTTGACATATGAAGTTGATATTACCAAAAACCCACTTCCGTTAGAGCTTGTACTTAAGCACACTGCCACAGAGACGAATGGCTAACATTTGACTACATTTCCTTAAGCAGAATGAGTTTAACAGTGCAAATGGAACTCAAGCACACAGGCACACACACACACACGCACAGGCTTGTGTGCGCACAGCCAGCACACAGGTAAGCAGAAGCGTAGGCAGAAACTTTGCACTGGGGTTCGTTCAGCTGAGAGTAGCTGAGTGCAGCGCCAGCCACTGCTCACGCAATTATGAGCAAAGTTGCTCTCGCTATTATGAGCAATAATGAGCATAAGCCATTAGTGGCAATGGCACAGCCCCCTTTCGACTACGACTCTGTCTAGCAACCGTAACCGTAATGCCGCACACAGAGCGAAATCTCACCGTTATGCCTAATCCCAGACATTAAAGTGTTGCGCCAACAAAGTGATTTGTTGTAGACAAAGCGGCCGCATACTGTGAGATGCCACCCTCGACCTCATGCTGCTGCTGCTCTTCCATCAGTATTCTCCCCCCCCCCTCATCAGTATCGCACAATGGGAACGGAGGCATTGCAAATAATCTTTGCAGTAAATACGCCGCAGCAGGAACGGAGAGCAGGAAAAAAAAGCTCCGCGTGTGTCTGTCTGTCTGTCTGTCTGTCTGTGTCTGGGGATCATTATTTGCCCAAGTGGGAAACAAAACGTCGGCAAAAAGTTCTGCGTACCAAATGTCGCACATGACTGCGGCACACTGTGTGCGTCTGAGCGCGTCTATGTGTTCTGCGTGTGCTCTATGCGTATGTGTTTGAATGTGTAATTTAAGCATTAGAGACGCGTAAACCTTAACGGGGCTCAGGGTGCCGCACACACACACACGCACACAGACATGGAAATTGAATAAATTATGCGTGTCATCACATGCCGGGAACAGGCTGGGCGGGGGCCACGAGCTGGAGCCCGAGCAGCCGCCACCGGCTTGGGGTTGCCTAGTTGCCGGTGTAGGGCAGAGCCACGCAATTTGTGTGCGACGACGACAACATTCAACGGCATTTAATTAAGCATTTTGTATTCATCGGAAATGTCATAAAAATGATTGCAGTGCCGGGGGGCTGGCTGCACATGTTGCACAGAATATATGTGCTGCAATGCTGCAAAGTAATCGAGATTTACTGAGGCCTTATGCAATTACCAGAGACATCCCTTCTTCTCCATTAAAGATTCTTCCTGTTTGCTTTCGCTTTTTTCGCCACTTTTTCTACGCTGATAATTTATTTATGCCTTTGGGGGCGTCCCTGAGCGCCAAGTCACGTAGCTGGGCGACAAACCAGAAAGAGGAATAGTAAAAATATGCAAAATAGTTGTGGGCCAACGCGGCATAGCTCGGGCATATCCCATTTCAAGGTCTAGCTTTAAAAATAAAACTGTATAAATAGAAAGGAAGGTGCCAGCAGGGTTCCAGGAAGCTTCCAGCAGGGAAGCCCCCCGCCAGGGCTGTGAAGTGCGAGCCCGAGTATCCTTTTGTGTAACCTTTTCGTCAATGCCAATCCCCTCGAGTGAGTGGCAAAGCTAAAACAATAAGCAGCCAGCTAGGTGACAAAGTTTCGGGTCGCCCACACATATGCAACACATTTGTGTTGTAAAGTTATCCTTGAAAATATTTAGCAGCCACTCAGCGGCACAGTTAACCTGGCGGCAGCAGCAGCAGCAGCAGCAGCCCCCCGAGGCAACACCTACAAGGCAGCCACCGACTGTGTGTGTGTGTGCGTGTGTGTGTGTGTTTGTGTTGTGGCAAACTTTTTCAGACGGCAAACACTTTTCCATCGATTTTTCTCGACGCCTTTTATTCTCGCTGGCTGAGGCTGGACCAGCTATCTTTCTGCTGCCTGAATGCGGTTTGTTTTTATTTTCACACTTTGGCTTTGGCTT